TACAATCCACTTTGTACATTAGTATTGAACTCTTGAATAGAGTTAACTTACCTGCTTTACTCCGACTGGTACAATTACATCTGTAGACCGATAGCATCCAATCATGTAACCTGTCTCATCAAAGTTCCAGAGATTGCATGGCTTGATATTATATTTTGTAATAATCGCATTATACTTCATAAAGAAGTCCTCGAAATTTGACCGATTCTGGGCTTGCTTTCGCTGAGTATTTAATGCCTTCGTACGAATAGAGTGGAATTCAGGGTGGGCTTTAAGGAACTGTTGAAGCCAGCGTCAAGAGGGCAGCTCTTTGCCTGGTCGCAAGTCTGCGACAGCTTGTAGCAGCGTACTCCGATTTGCAGGAATACTACGCTCAAGTTGGTCATGTATAAATTGGCAAATTGCAGCATCTTGTGCAGTCAGTTCTCCGAGGCTGGTCTTCAGTTGAGAGGATCGAAGCCTCTGGTTCATCGCCTTGTGATTTCGCAGCGTTTACTAGCCAGCCAAAAAGCTTGGAAATACGTGAAGGTGATACCATATGAGACATGGTTGATCCTTTATGCACCCCGGATTTTCAGTTGGTGCTCAGAGGCTTCTGACTCTGGTATAAAGATACTTGTCGTCTGTATAAACTTTATAATTCGCGGTCAATTCAAGCGAATCTCAGCCTCAGATTGAAGAGTAAGCGGGGGCCAATCTCCTCATCCTCAATTCGAGTAACCGTGCACCCATCGCTCTGATGTAGATACCAAGCAACGCCCACAGCAATCGCGTAGGGCGTGATGATACAGCTTTATTTCCTGGAGTTTTTCTCCCTTCCCACCCATACATTAGCCGTTAAATAATACAGTATAACATCTAACCAATCCAGACACATTTGGTGAAGCTCAGATATACACCTGCCAAGCCAAGCAACACCGTACCATTAATCCCCCTACTCCTCGCCCGGAGCCACAACCTTAACGCTCTTCTTCCTATCCACGGGAAAACCCGACCCCAACGTCCCCCTAACCTGCTCCACCGCGCGACTAATCCTGATCTCCATATCATCGCGCCGAACACGGCCACTAATACTAACCCTTTTCCCCCTCGTCCCCTCCTTAACAAGCTTACTCAACTCGCTGTCCCGCACAGCTGCCTTGCCCACCATCCACTCATCCCGCCAGCGGCCCGGAAGACAGGGATGTAGACACCCCTCCATCGGACAACATCCATCACTGGCATCCGAGCCTTCCAGCGTCGGTGGTCCCGAGTGCCACGCCCGCAGACAGACACTGTGCCCACCGTGTCCACAGCCCTGACACCACCACCACAACTTCCCAGCCGGTTGCGCCTTGACCTCCTTCCCGCCTCCCGGCGACGTTTCATCGCCGTCGAATTCCAATTCTGCGACTTCCGGCTCCTCCTGCTGCCGGCAAACCGTGCACCCGTCTAGATAAGTCCTGCACCGCTCGCAGCGGAGTAGCCGCTTGCCAACTTCAAGTTTCTCGTCTTTTCGGAGAGCTCGCCGACACGTCTGGCAGAAATACCCAATGTCCATGCCCCATTTTGCCTGGCCCTGGCCGTAGACGGTTGGGTAGGTGGGATATGATAGCTTGCGGAGTAGCGCCGCCTCTGTGAAGAGCAGCATGCTCTGTAGGCGATTCTGATACTGGCAGAGGATGGCAGGAGCTTGTAACTCGTCGATGGTGCCCGGGAGCAAGTGGGGGAGAAGAAGGAGCACCATCACGGCCGCGTTGAGTGAGGTTGTTTGAGTTTCGAAGGTGATGGTGCGCGGGATAAGAAGATGGGGGTCGATCGCAGCTGGGGTAAACGATGGGTCGCTGCGTTGGGGGACGAAATCAATATCAAGGATTTCGGGGGATGAAAGGTCGACGGCCTCGAAGGATTCTGCGACAGAATCGAGGTCTTGCGAGTGAATAGATATAATTTCGTCTTCTGACTGAGTATCCGAGTTTTCAGAGATCTTGCTTTCATCAGTAGATGGCAAAGAGGGCTGTTCAAGAGGAAATGGTGTAGGCGTTTGAGACCGGTGGTTACTGTGCCCACTTCTGGGTGGTAAGCTATCATCAGGTATGCTGCTATCTTTGGAATTAAAGCTCTCCGCATTTTGTCGCTCTAACGCTGGGTCGCTGCTCTCCCAACTTGCATATTGCTCGGATGGTTCCTTATGTTGAAACCGGCGGCCAACTGAGTCGGAGGCAAACGACAACCTCAACTGCGAATCACCGGACGTGGAAAACATCTGGAAGCTCTCGTTTGAATCATGACGTAGCATTCCCCCAGGGTGTGCTGTGGAGCCATCGCCAGGAAAGCCACCGTCTAGACGTAGTGGGGCCTTCCGTGGTGGGACAACAATACTGGTGGGGGGCGTGTTCGCAATAGCATCCAAATCGTAAAAGTCGTAGCCCGCTTCGTATGCGGATGCGTCGGAACATTTCCTACTCGAGAAATTACTTTGATCGGCCGGGGAGTGAGCTGCCTCCGGAAGGCTAAACACTTCCGAGTCGAAAGTTGGGAGCGGCTTCTGTGTCGTGGTATCCAAAATCAACGAATCTCTTATTGGCCTCGCGAGCGGAGTAGTCATCGTCGATGTACTCTCCTCCTCTGCCATTATACTCCTTGTGATAGAGCTAATATGACCTTCTTTTCGGTTCACAAGTGACTTTGACCGTGACCGTTTCGTCGGTGTCTTATCTACACGTATCCGGTGTCGTCCCCAGGTTTGCCTATCCTTCGTCTGTTGCTCTTCAATTGTCGCCTGGCTAGCTTTATTTTTTTCAGCCTCAACCAGGCGAAGTTCTCGATGATACTTCGCTCTTCTAATAAGGAGTAAACTTATAGAATAGGAGAGAACTTTCCAGGTCTGGGATAGACGGTATTGGCCAACTAGCTCCGCGGCTCGGGCAAAAGTCTCCATAATGGAGGCCATGCGCTCATGAATAGGAGCGCGCTTTGGCCCAGCAGACCCGGCATCTTGTAGATCCTTGGCAATCCGTTGCAAATAAGCGCTTGAGAGAAACTTGAATACATCTCGATGCACAGCAGACGGCGCATGGCCAATCGCCATCGTTTGCGATGGCTTGTATGGCCCTGTAACTTTGATGGACTCTTCCAATTTCATCACAGCTGCCATATCTCCTGCTGACGGCGGGGTAGTACTGAGAGGTGTAGCAGATCTTGTGTTATGATGGCGTTGATGTTTCTTGCTTGGCTTTAATTTCGGGCCTAAGAAGCTTCCTGCCGTGTCTTCTTCTGAGTCGCTACGGCTGATGCTGAGCTTACCTGAGGGGCTTTGGCTTGTCATTGACAGCCTTGCTCTAACGGGCTTTTCGCTCGTCCCTGAATTAACATGCCGCGAACGGCCTCGCCGCTCTTCTAACAATATCAACACTTCGCCTGATGGGGAGAAATCAAACGTTGACAAGCTTCGTTGGTCAATAACTTTTGGCGCGAATGCAATGTCACTCTGCCTGAAATCTCCTTCCCTGGTCACCGTCCACAGAATATCTGTATGTTGCCACTTCAAGGCTGTGGGCGATGTTTCAAAGCTGGAAATTTCCTTAAACGGTAGTCCTGGGCGAGCAATGTCCCATATTTGTACCGTGGACTTTTGAGTCTTCAAAGAATTCACATCGTCGTAGACGACCGCAACTTGGGCAGCTCTTTGAGCTTGCGCAGTCGATGGCCATGACGGCGGCCTCCAGGACACAATAGACACTGGTGCCGGAGTTGCAAAAGAATACTTGGGCTTTTGCCTCTTCTCAGCATTCCTTGATAGGTCCCATATGTAGCATTGCTGATCCAATCCACCACTGACTATGTGTTCGCCATCGGAATGCCAGGAAAGCGTCATGCAGGCGCCATCATGCGCATTGATCTTCAGAAGAGGGGCCTTCTGGTTGCGTGTGTCCCAATGTTGTATTGTTCCTGACACCGTTGCGCATGCGAATTCGAATCCTCGCGTTGGGTTCCATGTTACATCCCGTACTGGGTCTGCATTAGATTTGAATACAGCTCTGCTGATAAATGTCAAGTTGCTGCGCCCTGTTGGAGCTTTTATATCGAAGAACCTGACGGTCCCATCCTGGCTGGCAGAGAGCAGCAGGTTCGCTCTGAAAGGATTTATCGACAGCTTATGGACCTGGCGCTGATGCTCTTTTATGCGGCCAACTTCGAGGCCGCTGCCTATGCGATTGAGATCGTATATTGTGACCCTTCCATTTGCCGATGCCGTCACTATCGAGCTGTCAATCTCGCCATGGCCCCAACGCACGGCTCCAATCTTCAGCTGGTCGGTCAGGCCCTCGCCAGGAATGGCAATCGCTGCGCGCAGATCCGTCTGCTCCTCGATTTTCGGGCCCTCGATCTTTAGGGTCTTAAAGACCTCGTCTCCCGCTATTACGGCATAATTGCCAGATGGGGAGATGTCGACGCAGGTAAGCGGCGACCCGGTAGAATGGGTGGCATCCTGGGAGAAGTCGGGCCTCTGCAATTCTCTGGTGGTACGCGCATCATACGTGATTGCCGGCTCGGAGATGTGGTCATTCGTAGGCTGACCAAGGAGCCTCTTGATGATCTTCCCCTGGACCATTGTTGCGCAACATGTCTAACCTCTCACGGAGGCATTTCTGGTGCGATCAGAGCGCGGTTGAAATATCTGGGTATGTCGTCTCGGGTGCAGCCGTGTGAAGTCGCCCTTGCACTGTTCCCATGCGCATATTCGCCGATACCCAGGCTGTCTTGGGTATACTGAGAGCTATGAACGACAAACTACGTACTGTACCTCCCGCGATGTTGATGTTGCCTCACCCGGCGGGAAGGCTGAGAAGGCTAGCCAATCACAAGGCTGACATTACACCTGAGACCCACGGACCATATTTCATGACAGCCGTGTCAAATGCGATTGGGAACATCCGTCAGCCAATGGGCGGACAGGACGTAAAAGGGCCGTCTCCCTCTCGAAACAGACCTGTGTGTTTACAATCTGCACGAATCGAATCGTTAACACTCAACGAAACTCTATGGGCGTCACTTTATCTCGGCGTAGGCATCTGATAGGTATATTATGGACATATTGTCACCCTTGGCGGCCATAACTGGCTCAAACGGCGCCGGGGAGTCTCCGCGTCGCATGTTCTTACTCCTGAACTGACTGTTCCTGGCGGCTTCATTCGCAACATGGGCTGCATTGGGTCTCCAGTGACGATTGGCAATGATTGAATGGGAGAGGCCCCTCTTCCCCAACGAACGATAAGTATGAATCTACCCGCATTCTTATTCAGAGCTGGAGAAGGTCTCTATATATATGTAGGCCTATATCTTATGTTTCCTATCCCCATGTCTCATAAACCGACCTCTTTCCCTTCTCTCTCTTGCGTTGTTCAGCACCTCCACACATTCTCACAAAATCAACCTGTGATATTACGAAGGAATTCATAACTCTCAGCTTTCTCTATCCCTACTCGGCTGTTATTCTCTCCGCCGCAAAGCCAAACTGTTGCGACAGATACCGCGCGTTGCGTGTCGAGTTCGAAAGCTCTTTGTCATATCTCAGTCAACAAATCGCAAACACTAACTCAGACATCTCCGTCAGAGACAGACGGCATTCTTTTTTTTTACCACGGGGAATCTTACGAATTAGTACTACTCCTGACTCCCATCTGGTAACGCCCGCTAAAATCAAGCTTGTCAGCAAGCGACCTGTGCTCGCCGTCGGGACCAAGTTCATTGCTCTCGACTATCTTTCCTCTTGGCCTGCCTCACTTCACTTCTCACAGCGCTGTTAATCAGCACGGGGCGCAACATGATTTCTCCTTTCTCCCCCACCAGCCTCTCTCTTCTTTTCCTCGCCACAACTGCGCAGGCCGCGTCTTCCATATCTCTGGGGGGGAATTTTCAACAACTACCGTTCGGAATCACTGGCGAATGTCGAACGGTATACAACCGCCCGATTGAGGGCTGCGGCGCACGAGACTTTCAGGCTGGCGGCGCATGTTCCGTAGCATGCGTTGCATCGCTCGAGAGCATATCCAACACTCTCAACACCGTCTGCCCTGGCGTCATAGTTGATAGTCGGACGCTTCTTGGCCGCATCTTCCAGAACATGCTCATCGCATCCGTCTGTAACGGAATGGAGGTGCCAACGCAGTCAACGGCACCGACTGAAGTTGCTACAAAGCCGACGGATACATCTGCGCCAACAACGACGTCGCAAAAACATCCGCAAAGTACAACTGCCGAGGCACCAACTACTACTACCTCTGAAGCACCAAAGTCCTCAGTTCTTGGCATTGGCGACCCTGATCCAACATCAGAATCAACAACACAGCCAACAACAGAATCAACAACAGAGCCAACAACAGAGTCGATACCGGAGTCAACAACTTCCGAGACACAGGCGTCGCAGACTACAAATTGGAATAAACAGGACGAGCCTAGCGGCCGATCAAGACAGCAGCAACAGATCGACGCTAATAAGTTCTCAGGTGGAGGGAGCCCATTCGATAACATTGTTGCGGATGGTGGAGCAGTACATCCGGGAAGCGGTCTGATGATGAGCCTGGCCGGAGCGATATTGGCAGCAATAATACTGGTCTGATAAGCTCAGTGTTATTATTCGGAATTGTAAGGTTCTTTGGGCGTTCTTGGGTCGGAGTTGGAAATACAACCTACTGTATAATAACGAGAAGCCGAGGTCTAATCGCGGTGCATCAGCTCAGCTTATGCTGGTCGATGGATCTCGCGGGAACAGAAGACACAGAGGTGTACTCTTGGGTATGAAAACGCTCCCTGGCATGTCATAGTATATGATGTATGGATTTGTGGAACAGATCGCAGTGGACGGGGAGAGACGTGTAAATAGCTGGGTTTGTCAGGTAGCTGTGCTCGGATATTACAATTCAAATAATACAGGCTACAATGCAGCGCAATTCCCAAATTTGGAGGCTAGACTCAGTATTTCAAATTATCAGATGCCGCGGCTTCTGTGGGACCCCGTTCGAGAATTCGATGGGCAATTTTATCAAAGCTGGTATGTCAGCACAATCGAAAATGTGTCACGTGATAAAGGCCGAGACGCTCGAAAAGTATCCGCTGGTTCGGCGACTGTTTGTTTTTCCACATAGACTAACTTTAACTTAACTTACCCCAGATAATTTATTATAAACCAGCCTTTACCCATACTTTCTATAAGTTACCCGCCAACGCGCTCTACTTTTACTTCTCGTCAAATCACTAAGTGACCTCACTAATTGACCTCTACCCCCACCAAAAACTTTCCTTCCCCTCACCACCCGCCCACCTCGCGATCTCGACACATCGCCGAACCCCGTCTCAAAACCTCACCCACGAAAAATCAAGCAAACTGTTTTCCTCCGCCTTCCGCCGCTCCGCCAATCTCCTCAGAAGTAGCTCGGGACTCCCTCTCGTCGCCGCAGCTTCCCTCACGAAACAGAAGTCCACCGCGCCCGCGCCCGTCTTCGCTCGCTCGCGCACGATGCACAGCAAGGTCGTCATCATCGGCTCCGGCCCCGCCGCACACACGGCGGCCATCTACCTCGCGCGCGCGGAGCTCAAGCCCGTGCTGTACGAGGGTATGATGGCGAATGGTATTGCTGCTGGAGGACAGCTCACCACCACTACCGATGTCGAGAACTTCCCCGGTTTCCCTAACGGTATTGGCGGCATGGCGTTGATGGTGCGTGGTCCCCTAACCCTCGTTGTATGAAGTTCGCACAGAATATAAGCTAACATATCGATCGCAGGAGAACATGCGCAAGCAATCCGAGCGCTTTGGCACAGAAGTCGTCTCCGAAACGGTCGCCAAGGTCGACCTCTCTTCGCGCCCATTCAAATACTGGCTCGACTACGCAGAGGACGCCGAGCCCCATACCGCCGACGCCCTGATCATCGCAACCGGTGCATCAGCGCGCCGTCTCGATCTCCCTGGAGAGGACAAATACTGGCAGAACGGTATCTCGGCATGCGCAGTGTGCGATGGTGCCGTGCCCATCTTCCGCAACAAGCCGCTGGTCGTGATTGGCGGTGGAGATTCGGCTGCTGAGGAGGCGCTCTTCCTGACCAAGTACGGTAGCCATGTTACCGTGCTGGTTCGCAAGGACCACCTGCGCGCGAGCAAGACGATGGCGAAGAGGCTGTTGGCGAACAAGAAGGTTACCGTGCGCTTTAACAGCGTTGGTGGCGAGGTGACGGGTGATGACCGTGGACTTATGTCGCATATGATGGTGAAGAACGTGGTGACTGGCGAGGAGGAGAAGTTGGAGGCGAACGGACTTTTCTACGCCGTTGGCCACGACCCAGCAACTGCGCTGATCAAGGGACAGCTCGAGACGGATGCGGAGGGTTACCTAGTGACCAAGCCAGGAACGAGTTATACCAACAAGGTTGGTGTTTTCGCGGCTGGTGACGTGCAGGATAAGCGTTACAGACAGGCCATTACGAGCGCGGGAAGCGGATGCATCGCGGCGCTGGAGGCGGAGAAGTACATCAGTGAGCTTGAGGATGGAGAGCACCTGCCGCTGGAGGAAGAGGAGAAGGGCGCGAAGAAGGGTGTGACCGATGCGGCGCCAGAGTACAGGACGAACCCGCTGTTGTAGATGATGGTGGACGGGATGGATATTGACTAGATACAACATAGACTACGCTGACTTTTCTTGGCAGCAGCGATAAAAATGTACATGATTTTAGATCCTACCATGGTTTCTTATTCCAACGTACGTGCCTAGAGCTTAAATTATAAGTTTTATCAAATATTTGCCCACTAGATATGCGCCTACTGTACGGAGGTGGCTAGTGAAAGTAGTCGGCAGGTGGGCTCTAAGGCCGACAGAAGCGCTATGGCTTATGTAGTATTATGGGCCATAATTCCCGTACGTGCGAGAGGCACGAGGATTCAATTACAATTAATTAAGGGTCATTATGTAGGGTGGTGTTATGGTAGTATGTAGTAATAGTCAATTCTGGTGGTTTGTAGGCAACTCACTTGTGTGGGCAACTCGGCTTGTGAAATACGTTATAATTTTTGTTATATAATTCCCGCGCTGCTCTCACGTTTCTAGACACCACCATGACTAGAGTCTCTGTCCATTGCTCTCTATTAGAAGCATTGTAGTTGTTTTTAATATCCATGGTGTTAAAAGATTATTCCAAGGTCAACCCGAGGATCGAACTCGGAACCTTTTCGGATATCATATTTAATGATACTTTGTGAGCGAAAGTCATAACCATTAGACCACGCGACCTATTTATATCTCTCTATTGCCAGGCCCCACAACCTCGGGCTCAGTAGTGGGCTACTGGCCTTCGAATGAGTGAGTGTTGCTGTATAGATTTGCGCAGAGCAATCACCTTTTCTCTAGATCCTTTCGTATCTCTGGATTTGAGCGCCAGCTCTGATCTTGTTACTCTAACTTCCATATCTGCTCTTTTATCATCTCTTTATGTCGGCGTTTATATGTCTAGAATCCATAGCAATATGTCACCATGAAATATGTGTAGGATGCAATGCAAAGGCGTATATGATTCATCCTTCAGCCGGAATCTTTCTCGCATGCCTCTCTACAGTGGCCAATATCCCCATCTCCGTTTCAGCCAAGCCATCATCACCAGAATGGATATTGCTCAAAGATGATCACTGCCCCAAGCTTCCATCACTCTTTTGACAAAATTGTAGCACCAGTAACGGCTATTTCATCCAAACTCCCCACCCACGGAAATTCACGAACGCTGCTATATTCTTAATCATATACCCCGGCCGATCTCGCAGCCACCACCACCCGTTCTTCCAATTCGATAAAACAAATGCGACGAGCGCATAATAATGAGCCATGATGACCAGGGCCTTTGGATCGAAAGAGTTGACCAGCATGACAAACTCTGGCGGTAGAAATGAGAGCCAATGAACAAAGTATAGCAGTAGTGCATTTGGCGGTGCCCCACCAAATGGTGGCCGCGATATCACAGCGTCTATAACAGGCGCCAAGCTTTTAATGACCCCCATGTAAAACTTTGCGTTGGGATCCGGAATTCCATAGTCCAGAGCATGACTCTCGATCATTTGGACCAGACCGCGAGCCGGGCCTTGCGTAACATCGAGGACCTTGACTCCGTGCGATAATCCCAGAGGAAAGAAAGTTCAGGTAGCTGCGAGGCCGGACCAAAATTGAGGCTGGTCATTACTTTGGCTCAGCGTCTCGATCTAGTAGTCAAGGAGAGCCATTACGCGCGTCTAGTGCATAGTCGGGATGATGTTTGCTTGATATTTCTTAGCGACGGAAGGGTGTGGCGAGGTGCTGTGGATCATCCCTTTCCCTAGCGGAGCAACTTAGACCCTTCATGGCTTAGCTGAAAACCTTCAATTCGTTGGATCCTTCGGCGCTTACCCGCCGATCTTAGTTGACAGAATGGTAACTTCCCTAATCAGGCCTAGTACACTAACTCTTTCCACCTCAGCCTTATAAACAACCAAACCGTATAACGCCTTGGCTTCTACATGGAAACTATGACTGGTAAGTTACTTGATTAATGATAGCTCTTACTGCTCCGCCATCATAATAACGCAGTTCGCACGCATTTTAGATCTGCATGGACGGCACAACCATCAACCCTCTCATCATTTTCAAAGGACAGAACGTTCTACAAAGCTAGATTCTGCAAGAACTGATTGATAAATGGTACTTTTCTGCAAACTCGAAGGGTTGGACAAGCAATTTACATGGTGTTAAATGGTTGAAACGCGTCTTTGAACCAGCGACGCGTGAGAAGGCAGACAGTGGACAACAACAACGACTCCTCATATGCGACGGTCACAACAGTCATATAAGTGGCAGTTTTATATCACACTGTATGCCGAATCAAATATCTCTCCTCATAATCCCACTGCACACTTCGCATGTGTTGCAGCCACTTGATGTTGCGGTGTTCGGTCCACTAAAAAAGCGCCTCACATCTGCGCTGTCACATCTAAATGAAGCGCAACTCACACGGGTACAAAAGGCAGAGTGGTTAACTGCGTACATGCAGGCAAGATGTCATACTGACATTCGTTGCACTCAGTTTGCTATCAAACTCAAGAGCAAACTTAGAAATCTCCTCCTCAAACCTACAAGTCACTATACATATTTTGGCTTGTCACACCAACAACAAGAGCAATACTACTCAACGATTGCTACAACCCTCTATGATTCATTACATGTCATTGCTCCTTAGTTACTGGGCCGATATGACCACATAGCATATCTCTACAAGCCTCTATGATTCATTACATGACATCACTCCTTAGTTACTGGGCTAATACTACACATGACATATCTCTATCAACTAGAGGCCTAGGAACATGAACGATAGCTCCAAAAGCTTCTACAACCCTCTATGATTCATTACACGTCATCGCTCCTTAGTTACCTACAAGATTGGTTAAGTTATGACATAATCTGTCTATAGGGGTACTCTGACCTTGGACCTCCTTTCACTTCCTATAGGCTAGGAACCTAGGATGGTTCTATGGAATTCTCTTACGTCGACTACAGCTACCAAGCCTGGTTAGTCATGGAAAGTCTTGGAAAATAAGAGAACTACACTCCTTTAGCATAAATAGGATTGCCCTTTCCTGAAGAAAGGGCAAGCAGACAATACAGTAAATCGACTATCACATACTTCCACATCTTTTCCAAGCTTCCAAGCATTGATCTTGTTACTCCTTGTTTCTGAAAAGTCAGTGAGATGCTAACCTCTGACTTATCCCTGAGTTCTCAGACTCAACATTTGTTACAACTTGTCTAAACCACTCCACTACATGATACACCTGATTGCTGCATTGTGGAATAGTCTAAGCTACGACCCTTTGGCTCTGTTTCCTAAGACAGTGTGTTGTCTTAGTAAAATCACCCCTTCCTTGGGTGGCTAGATTCTCACATCTGGTGCACCCACCATTACACAAGAGTCGACGCATTTTCGATTAATAACATTACTTCTGCATGGAGAGGAGCAGGCTTACAACCATTTTTACAAGCTCGTACAGTACTAAATACACCAACGACACGGTACATCCACAAATTGGCAGAAGAGACAGAGCGACTAAACACTCGCAACTTTTTACAACAACGTGAAGCAGACAATCTACGAGCGATAATACAGACACGGAGGACACAGAACAAGGGTAAGAGGACAGTTTTAAAGGGTCAATTCTGTAATGGTGGGTGCACCAGATGTGAGAATCTAGCCACCCAAGGAAGGGATGAATTTACTAAGACAACACACTGTCTTAGAAAACAGAGCCAAAGGGTCGTAGCTTAGACTATTCCACAACGCAGCAATCAGGTGTGTGATGTAGTGAAGTGGTTCAGACAAGTTGCAACAAATGTTGAGTCTGGGAACTCAGGGGTAAGTCAGAGGTTAACACCTCACTGACTTTTCAGAAACAAGGAGTAACAAGATGAATGCTTGGAAGCTTGGAAAAGACGTGGAAGTATGTGATAGTCGATTTACTGTATTGTCTGCTTGCCCTTTCTTAAGGAAAGGGCAATCCTATTTATGCTAAAGGAGTGTAGTTCTCTCATTTTCCAAGACTTTCCATGACTTACCAGGCTTGGTAACTGTAGTCGACGTAAGAGAATCCCATAGAACCATCTCTTAGGTTCGTAGCCTATAGGAAGTAAAAGGAGGTCCAAGGTCAGAGTACCCCTATAGACAAATTATGTCATAGACAAATTATGTCATAGACAAATTATGTCATAACTTAACCAATCTTGTGGGTAACTAAAGAGCGATGACATGTAATGAATCATAGAGGTTCGTAGGAGCTTTTAGAGCTATCGTTCATGCTCCTAGGCCTCTAGTTGGTAGAGATATGTCATGTGGTAGTATGAGTGATGTCATGTAATGAATCATAGAGGGTTGTAGAGATATGCTATGTGGTAATATCGGCCCAGTAACTAAGGAGCGATGACGTGTAATGAATCATAGATGGTTGTAGCAATCGTTGAGTAGTATTGCTCTTGTTGTTGGTGTGATAAGCCAAAATATGTATAGTGACTTGTAGGTTTGAGGAGGAGATTTCCAAGTTTGCTCTTGAGTTTGATAGCAAACTGAGTGCAACGAATGTCAGTATGACAAATTCATATTACTACAGAGGAACTGCGGTCCAAAGTCGTCGAGGCCAAGGAAGCAACAATACAGAGAACACGGAGATCAGGTACAACAGCACCAAACAACAAGATAATTGTGCCAATTAAATTGGAAATTGAAGAGGAAGACTCAGAGAGAATACGACTGTATTATCGTTGAGCCCTAAGGTAGTTAATACATGGTATTGCGGTTACGTGCGATAATCTACCACTGAATGTCATGCTATGCCATCCGTCCTGCTACGCCACAACTTACGTTACCTTTTTGTGAAACCCTTATATCGAACAATCAATGATAATAGATTAATCGTCATGACCAAACTTTTCGCTTCGCTCAAGGTTGGAGGTAAGCAATATGCGGCTGCCCAACCTAAGAGGAAGCAATATGCGGCTCGTCACAATTGTGACTGTAAGTACCTCTCTATTATGATTTGTATGTAAAGGTACATAATTAAGCCATTCTATGAAATTATCACTTCTTTGCTCCTACTCCTACCCTCTCTCCTACTCTCACCCTCGCCCTTACCCTCGCCCTTAGTATGTTTAGAGGGTTTCTAGGTTAGGGATTAGGTCCTCAAACTCTAGAGGAATTAGGAGGCTAGCTTTCCGAAGAGCTGCCACCCCCTTCTTTTAGAGGCGCTCTTCCTTCTAGGCCTTAATTCCTGCCTAGTGAAGCTGATTTTAGGCCTAGTTAGCAGCCTAGCAGGCTACTTGAACCTGCTTGGCCTCAAGCTTCTAAGCTGCTAGCTTAGCTTTCTAGGCCCGAAGCTCGTGAGTGTGAGCTGCCGTAAGCTCACCTCTAAACTAAAGGAGCCTAGCTTCAGCTCAACTGCTTCTTTGACTCCCCAACCTAGCGTTGAAAAGCCAGTAGGTTAAGCTCTTGAAGGTAGCCTCCTACTAGAACCTCTTCCGTTCCTATGAGCCAATTCCTATAGCTCTCCCTCGAGGGGCTACTAAAACCCTCTAGAACCCGTTGTTTCTAGTACTGTAGCCCCTCTTTAACCCCCCTAAAAGTTGAGGGTTTTGGTGTAGAAACCTGTATAGGTAGAGGCATAGGTGTAGGCATAGGAGCAGGCTGTGAGTACGTACGTAGCTTTGCAAGAGCTATAATGTGGCTTACTAGCCAAATTCCTGCTTTCTAGAAAGCTGATATAATTATAGACTCCCTAAAAGTCTATAGCTGCATTTTGGTAAGATCCCTCATAAAGGACTATAGGTCATATGTAACATCCATATCACATATGGCAGCAAGCACAGCCTCTCTATGCTAGTGCTTATACGGCTAGAAGATCCCTACATGTAGCTGTAAAATATAAGTAAGATGGGATGGGAATGTGTATATGATATTGTGTTTTTCTGCCATAATGATGAAATCATCGCTTGTATGGCTCACATGAGAGTTAAATAGTAGAACCTTCGTTTCCTTAGAGGGAGTATGCTCTGCAAAGTGCTGAGCTCTGTACCTTAAAGGTTGGCGTAGTACTAAGTATCCATGTGTATTTTGCCTAGAATGATAAGTACAGGCGGTATGACTTTTCTGGTGGCAGACACAGCCTTAAGTATAGTAATAGACGTACGATTTTCAGGGCTTAGGGTGTAGAGCTCCTTTGTAGCTCGTGGCACAATCACACGCTCTCCACCTGGAATCCCAACCTAAAAGCTAGTTTCATCTACATTCTAGATTGACTCTGGTTTTATACCACGCTCTAGTATAAACCAGCCACTCTTGAAACCACTTTAGAACTATAGGCTCATCTTAAGCCTTTGTACGCTACTGCGCAATTGGCTTCGTAGTAACAAGGTGATATTCCTTAAGCTCATTCTGTATAAATTTTGTAAGCTAGACTATGGTGGAGGTTTTGTTGAGAAGTGGCGGTGAACAGACGCACGTTCCGACCCGCATATTGCTTCCTCTCGGGTTGGGCAGCCGCGTGTTGCTTACTCCAACCTTGAGCGAAGCGAAAAGTTACGATTACGGCCCCTGAACAAGACGTTTCCAACAAAATTTAGCGCGTAAATGAAGTCCAGTTAGGCTTTTACTTTAAAGTAGCGGCAGTAAACCCCTGTCGCAAATCCCTAAATCAACGATCATGGTTGAAAGCTAATCTCCCAATCTACCCATCTTTATTCTTACAACAACAGAAATAGTATACAGGACGCCATGTTGGACCCTTTCGCTCCGCCGCCGTGGCTTCGCATAGCCTTCGAGCCTATGTGCGAACTGCTACACCTCAATACCCTCCCACTCCACGCCCACCAAGTGCTTTTCGGTTTTGTGTTCTACACAACTGTCAACTCCGTGCTGGCGCCCTTCCTGTCTGCGCGTCTGTTTCCGGCCACATACCGTGGCTTACCCCGGCGGACACAGCTTCAATGGGACATGCATGTCACATCCTTTGTAAATTCGACATTTCTCTCCTTCGCCTTGACGTACGTGATACTGGCTGACCAGGAACGTGCCAATGCCACTTGGGAGGACCGGATTTGGGGATACACGGGTGCTGGCGGGCTCGTGCAAGCTCTTGGTGCTGGTTACTTCATGTGGGAGCTGGGTGCTTGCGCTTCCAACGCCAGCACACTGGGTGCTTTGGACCTGCTTCACGCCGTCGTCGGGTTCTGCATCACCATTTTGGGATTCGTGCGTGGCCTTCGCTCTTTCCTTTCCTTTCCTCGGCTTGCTGGCGTTATCACCTGCTAATACATTCTTGTTCTCACAGCGCCCTTTTGGTCCGTACTATGGCATCCAGTATGGCCTGGTCGAACTGTCCACGCCTTTCATAAACATCCATTGGTTCCTCGGCAAGATGGGCCTGGCTAGGTCTAGGATCCAGATGGTCAACGGGATCGTGTTGATGATCACCTTCGCCTCATGTCGCTTGCTCTGGGGTTCCTACATAACCTTCACCTTCTTCGGCGACGTATGGACTGCGATTCAAGCAGATAAGCCGTCGTTCACGCTGTACTACTACTCCCCCTCAGAGCCACCTCTCTCGCTTGAGCACCGCGCTCCAGGGTGGGTCGCTGTCGCCTTCATGTGCACCCACACAGTCGTCATGTCTCTGAGCGTCTTCTGGTTCAGCAAGATGGTGGCGACTGTGCGGAAACATGTCAAGCCCAAGGGAGATGGCAAGGAGAAGAAGGTGAAATGAGGAGTTGTTAGTAGTTACTGTGGTGTGTTTATGAGAATTTACCGCATTCGTATGGATGAGTTGGGTAGACGGTATACAAATAGAAGTTGGGAATCGATGGCAACGTATGTCAGGATCCGGCCTGTATTAACAGCGCGCCTTAATTGGTTATTAATTGTAATTGCTCCCACCAAAAACAGAATTCTTGAAATACCCAGCGATTGCAAGAGTACCACTGAGTTTGTACAGATTAATCATGTATGTCACGCATTGGAAACTTATGCAGTCAAGCACCCATCCAATTGGATGAGGCGCACTGGGACATGCAAACGGACGAGCTCATATTCCAACGTCGTATATATACGGAGTAAATAACCATCCATCTTATCTTCTCGCTATACTCATATCGCTCCTCACTTTCCCTCTATTCTCATCGCTCCTCGCAGCTCATAGCGGAATCCCTGCCCCTGGCTCCCTCATCATAAGCTGGAGATCGACCCTTCCCTCCGCCCCATACTTTGTAAAATCAAGGCTAAGCGTATCTCCAGTTTTCACCCAGCCAAGCCTGCGATACAGCTTCTCGCCCGCTTCAGACGCTTCAATATACGTCTTCTTGCCCTCCTTATCAGCCATCTTTAGCACAGGCACCAGCAGCGCCTTTCCCAAACCGAGCCGCTGGTACGCAGGGACGACGGCGAGAATGTTCATCACTACACAGGTGGTCAGTTGCTACCCCTATTACCCAGCAACTCGGGCCGGAAAATCAACGATTGAAGGGTAAAACGCACTGTACATATCATCATTCGTCACCCACTTGTCCCGGTAATCATTCAACTGCTTCACGAACTCCTCCGTCACCCCGACATTCGTCCCTGGCACAGGCTCCGGCTGAGGGCCGTTCTTGGCCGCCTCGGCTTTGGCTACCTCCTCAGACGTCAGGGTGTGAGGGAACCACCAGCGGGTAACAGCTGCAATTTTTCTGGTCGCACGTTAGTCCTCGTCACGTCTCCAGGACACCAAAAAAAAGGAACTCGAACCCCGCAATTATAAATCCAGATAAGGGAATAAATCAACGCAACGAGGGAAAACCATGGGATGAGAGACAAAAATAACCTTACCCAGTCGCCTCATCAACAACCTTGAAGTGCCTTCGCCCACTCATCGTCCATTGCCCTTTCCAGAACGCAATATCTTTCTCCCTCAACACCGCGCGGTCCACAGTCCCGCTCATAGTACTGAAAAGCAGATTATCCGCGAAAGCGGCATCGAAAGCTTCGACAAAGCCAGGGATATCCTCATCTTTGCCTTCGGAGATGGTGAAAGTGTATTCCCCAATCTTCAGGGTCTGTGGGGGGAGATCTGGTGTCGCCATTATGGATGTGGTTGGGGGTTAAGTCAGGGCCGAGGCAGAATGTTATGTACTTCGCAGAATTTCTGAACTGGTCAAAAGAAATTACTCAGGCCAAAGGTTAAAAAGCGGGAAATTGGAGAATAAATAATCCAAGGCGGAACGAGAAATATATATATATCCTCCACCTCGGCACCTGCAAGTATGACTCGTGGCCGACCCGCCAAGACCTCCCCACCTGCTCTTTCGGCTTCGCTCTATGGAAACCGCACACTAAAATTATGGAGGATCCATCAGGTGAATTAATTGTTCAGGAATAGTGATAAAGGGGGATATAAATATGTTTTGCCAGAGAGCTATATATATACTATGGTATATGGATCTATTCATTCAGTGCCTTGCCTACAAAGCTACATGTAGAAAAATGGGTCGCTAGAAACCTGTTTTATTAAATTTATCACCCACTTATTGCATAAGCTTTCAAATGTCAAACAAAATATGCATGAATTAATCTTGTCAATAAGTGGCTAGACTCACATATTATGCATGTTTTCTGTCTCCGTTGCCCATCCATATTGCTTCGACCCGGAACCCATCCGTGGCTCCCTCTCAACACCAGCCCGTCCGCATAGCTTCTGCCTCCAAAGCTTATCACCCATCCGCCCATATGCCCTCACTCTTCAAGTTACATTCCCAGCCGTGTGGTCTCCCCGTCTCCAAATCGCACCCATTCTCATTGCAAATCCTCTCATAATCATCGTATGGATAATGCACGATATGCTGGACTTCGTCTGTGCTTGATGCTGTCCTGTTCCCATCATCATCCACAAAGTAGTAGATACACTTCGGGCGTGGTGATGTCACATTTCAGAATTAACTCCACGCCTGCTCCTTGGCACCGAGTCATAACCTCTAGGTGATCTTCTTCCGTGAATCCTCGGTGGTAACGGCTCTTGTTCATCATTGTCGTATCTGGCTGTCGGCCCTTCTTCCATCCAAAATCCAGGGTTTTAAGTGCCGGGTGTCGATGTTTCTGCTCGAGAAGTTTGAAGATCACAGCCATTGCAATATCATGGTGGTTTTTCGTAAGATAGGGTCCACCCGAAATACACAATTGCTCAAGGCTTGGTGGGATGGCATCCACAAGACTCTGGACCGATGGGAAGTTCTCCGTCTCTTTATTGATATCGCCACGGCTAATGAAAGTTTCCCAGGTGGTTTCGAGGCGTCGAAGGCCTTTTAAAGGGGCTAAAGCCTCAACTGAAGAGACTATAATAGAACTCCAGACATAACCCTCGTGTAAGACAGTCAAGTCCTGGAGATGTGGGTTTATGCATGATACTGCCGCCATTAGGTTGATGCCCTTAAGCTCGTCGTCTTTGATCAAGGGATCGTCTCCAGGGCTCAAACGATCTGTACAGTAGAATCTCTTTAAATTTGGGCAACAACGCCAGAGCCGAAAAAGGGCATTGGGGCGTATTATGGTGCCGTCCAGTATGAGGACGGCAGGAAGTGACTACCTAAATAGGGGCGATCTTTTCTTCCAACCACCAACATACTGATATTAACCTGTTTAATTTATAGCTGGGGATACAAGAGCAGCCTTAAAATAATACCTCGTACTCGATACAATAGTTTTGAATCAATTATTTTGCATACTGCTGATTCAAAGCTTTTATAGCATTAACTTATTCTTTTCTTACGGCGTTTATCAGTTATCTAGGAAAACAGAATTAAACGTGTCTCATTATTTGGGATTAAAATTGCGAGGGGCATTCTTGCAGGAACTTTTATACTTATTTGCCTACTTAAAAAAAGAAGGAACATTTTATCTAAGTTATTCGTACTATTTAGGATTCTTATATTGAGGTAGTTTGATACAGTGAACTTCACATCCGCCAATCAGCTTGCCATTGTCCGTGGCTTGGAAGGAACAACACAAGTTGCCTTCACCACCGTCTACATCGAGCGCGAATGATTCCAGATCGGCCAACCGGGTTTATGCTCGAAGGCCGATTCCGTTTTCAACGACTCATCTAGGAGCATACACCTGGTCCCCCTTCGTCGTCAAGCTCGAGGCGCGCCTGCGCTTTTCTCACCTGCCATACACCACAGAGGACTGCCCATCGTCCTCATCTATCTGCACATATGGCAGTTTCCCCTTCGGCGACGCTGTGAGCGTCCCTACCTGTCTGCCCAGCGACTCTGCACTGATCACAAAATCGTTGATAAAATCCGCAGCCATCACAGACTTAAACGCAGACCTATCCCCCGCGGAAGCAGCGACCGACCTCGCCATCCGCTCCCTGTTGGAAGACAAACTCTACTTCCTAAATGTGAGTATCCAACCCCCTACCCCCAGTCTGCCCCCCACTAACCCCACCAGGGCCACGAACACTGGATCACCAATTTCTACACCATGCGCGACATCGGTCCTCTATCCACCATCCCCTGCCTCCCCCGACTCATCATCGGCCAAATCGTCTATAGCAAAATAACACGCACACTCCACGGCCAGGGCACTGGACGGTACTCGCCTGCTGAGATCGCAGCGCTGAGGCTAGAGACCTGGATGGCGCCTCATGCGTTGGTGGGGGAGGGGTGGGTTTTGGGTCTGGATGGGCCGACGGATGTGGATGCGTTTTTGTTTGGGTTTTTGGTGTCGTCGTTGACTGCTTCTGCGTGAGTTTTACCATCTGTCCATGGAGTAGAACAGATATTATGGGCGGATTTTAATTTGATGTAGGAATCCGGAGACGAAGGCGATAATTCAGGGGCTCCCCTATTTGATGGGTTATGCGGAGAGAGTGCATGAGTACTTTTCCGGTTATAAAATGTGGGAATGAAATGGTCTTCTGGGTGTGGAGTTACTGCTTCCTTCCCCTTTACGCATGTATTATCTAGCATTTTAGCTGTTAGCTGTATCGACAATTGTGAAGCAACCCTCCTCTATCAATAAACTCATCAGCCGCGATCCTCGCGCACCAATCCTTCATCCGCCCTACTGCCGGGGCATATCAAACGAAGCCAAGGACATCTCCATCTGCAGTCCAAATAGTAGTTCCATACCGGAGAAAGGGCGCCTGCCGAATCCTGGCCCATGTATAGCCAGATCGTAAATACCCACTGTTCCTCAACTCGCTGGAACGAGGTGACTTTGAAGCTTGCCTCTATGAGATCTGTATCAGATGAGACCAAGAAAACGAATTCGTCAGTTCGGCGACCCTTGGAGGGAGTTAGTCTTTGGATGGACCTAGTTCTCTGGCCTCGTGTCGGTTTCGCAGCGAGATTGGGGCGTGGACGGCCTATCCTCCTGACAGTAGAATACTCCTATATTCCCCGCTTTCTGCGGAAGCCTTTCTATATCGATGCTTCGGTGTCGAAGTATAACGACTAGATAGTTCTGCCAATACATAACCTCTGTAATCGATATCCCTATCTCCCGAAAGTGGTTCCGGATAATAATAAACAGAGGCTTCCAATCCACCATATCCCTCCTATCCAGGCCCCCACCAATCGCACCATTGCGCATCCCGACTCTCCACCCAAAGGGCCTCGGCATATACTGCGGCGCCATCCCTGGGGCGAAGTACGGCGGAAGGCGTGCGACTGATTTTGGCCACGGCTTGGGTGGCATCTCTGTCTGGAGGAAGTAAACAACCATGCCGTCCGTCGAAGCCCATAGTTCCCCGGGAATAAGTTTTCTTAGCTCGGGTTTATATAACGCTTCGGGGTCAGTTCCACCACTGTGGCACTGTGAGATGCCATGTTAGTTGGAGATGAGGTGGGTGATTGAAATCGTGGTTGTGCGGGATGGGATTTGTGAATATAGGATCGTCTGATAATAACTGGCCAGCTTTTTTGCCCACGTGAAGTTGCTACCTCATACGATACTTCGCCGTTTTAGCGTGCAACTTACAGCTGAAGCACTAAACAAGCTTCTCTTTGGCTCCGTAGCTAGAGTAACGGTTGGCTTTGATATTACAGTTGCCAATATGAGTAATTCGTTTCTCAAAGCCTGTTCTCATTCTGCTTTTCTATCAGCACCATTATTCACTTCGAAAACAGTGTTAGCGACTAATTCAGAGAACCAGCATGCAAAACCCCAAAATCATAAAAAGCCAAAGTAGAGAATAGCATAGATATATCCCTCCATAATATCTGTCCGTAAACTGTGGTATATGTATATACATGCGTCCCTAACCCACTCTGGGCCCAAAAAAACGCCACGCTCCCCCATCATCATCGCCCACCCGGTCCCCTCATCCCCTTTGATTTTTCCCCTTCCCAAATCCCCAACGCCGCGCTATGCCACCCAAAAAAAAAGACACAAAAGGAAGTTTATACACTCCGCGCCCCGCTCAAACCAAAAAACCAAAAAACTCCAGGCACACGCTCTCTACTCACTCCCCCTCAAAGGCGGCGCCGGGATTCTTAGAACCGTCCCACTACTCCCCGATCTCGTAGTAGACGATCTATCAACCGTCGTCGCCGACCTCTCCCCCGACGTTGCAGACCCCCCGCCAATAGTAACATTCCTCACCACAGCCTGCTCAAGGGCTTCTCTCACGCGCTGGACAGGCGATGGTGCTGGTGAGGGGGGCCGCACATCAGCATCTATGACCGGCGATGTTGGATTCGGATCAGGAGGTAAAGGCGCGGGTGTAGGAAGCGGCACGTCGACGCCGCCGCTCCTATTCACCGTCCGGCACTGACACCGACTCCGGAACAACCCTCCTCGTAGCAGGCGCGGGGATCCGCATAACCGGTAACTTCTCCGGCCCACCACCACCACCCCTGATCTCCCTCACCCTCTCCGCGCGTTTACTCGCGAAATCCTCGAGCTTGCCAAGGACGTCCCAGTCCCACCTCCCCCCCTCCTCTGTGGGTTCAGGGCGGCGCGAGGGACGGGGGAGGCGACGGACTGTCATTGCTGAGACTTCGGGTGGTGGGCGTTGTCGTGAGCGCGCGAAGGGGTTTAGTACTTCGATCGCGGACCAGATGCGTGATGTTGGTGCTGGAGGCTGCTGGTGTTGTGGTCGTGGTGCGCTGGTAGCGCCTTCGGATTTTGAGGTCGAGACGGAGGTGGAATCTTCGTTCCAGGCGACCACGGGGACGGCTTCATGCTGTGCTTCGACGTCGAAGCTGCCGCCGCGCACAGAGCGAGCGTCGCCGATGGGGTGGTATCGGATTGCGTAGACGGTGCTCTCGGCGCTGGCGGTGTCGGTGTGGGGGGCGGGTGTGGCGGCGGGCTGGGGGCGGGCGGGCCAGGTGGGGTGGTTTTGTGGGTTTGTTGTTGTTGTTGTGGATGGTGTTTGTGGGGGGATGGGGTTGGAGGTTGCTCGGCGGCGAGGGGGATGGGGGATGCGGTGACGGGCCGTGGCGCCTAAGCCTGGCCAGCGGTCGCCGGTTCCAGAGGCTTTAACTGCTGCGCCAGGGCCGTCGCGATCAGGGCCACGACCTCCAGATCCGGTTCCGCCTCCGCCGCCGCCGCGGTGGTCGGTGGAGAGGATGGTGGAGGGGGTGACTTCGAGCATTTCGTCGCCGTCGAAGACTTCGCGGCCGAGGACGCCGTCTTTCTTCTCGTTGCGCTCGAGGGCTTCGATGCGCTCGACCCATTCCCAGACGACGGCGCTGGCGGCCGCGGCGCCGACCCAGCGGACGTAGTCTCCCCAGCTGGCGACGTCGGGCATGGAGATGTCGACGACGAAGAAGACGACGGGGACGAGGATGGAGACGAGGGAGATGAGTGCTACGAGGCACATGTTGCGCATGCGGGGGTGGTAGAAGGCGTATTGCTTCTTGGTGAGCGCGTAGTAGATGACCCAGGCGGAGTAGAGGAGGCTGAGCGCGATTTGGAAGAGGTAGCTCAGCGCGGGGATGGCGTCGACGAAGGCGGCGGGGCGGGTGTAGCCGGCATAGACGAAGTCGTCGAGGGTGCTGAAGATGACGGAGAGGGTGATGAGAGCTAGGGCTGTCCACTTGATAATGACCTTCTCCCGCTGCCTAGGGAAAAGACGGATGAGCGTCTGCGCCTGTGCGAGCCAAAGGAAGGTGTCCGAGATGACCATGATGACCTTGAGTTCTTTGCTTCCAAGAACCTCCGTCTGCAGCATCACAGCACTGATGTATCCGGCACTATATTGTTCCTCGGCGATATTGAAGGTATTCGCGGTAGCGATGCTGAGCGAGATGGCCACGCTTATGGCTGCGACTTTTTGTAGCAGAGGGCGGCCTCCAATGCCAACGCCTGTTTCTCGCACGGTGGTGCTGCCGGTGAAGCCGCCGCGGCTGCCGAGGACGACCGTGCCGCCCGATACGAACGAGCGCGGTGTGATGCACAGGAGGATAACAAGCATATATGCCGTAACGGTCGTGGAGGCCAGGGCGTATATTATGGACAGCGACGAGGTGTAGTCTGTCGAAGGCACATCTCCATTGATCACAGTAACGTCTGGGGCTATGGAGCCGGTGCAGTTGGGGTAGAAGTAGGCGTCAGCACCGAGGGTGACTTGATCCAGCACGTCTACGGTGCTGTTGAACTCGATGATGCCATTCGAGGGCAGGATGAACGGCGTACAACTCGACACTGCCACCATTGTGGACGAGGACGAGGTAGGTGTGGGTTGGTGGGCCTGGTCCCAAAAGGCGCGAACCTCCATGGTGAGGTGGTGGGGGAAGGAAGTCGCGGCGCAACAGCCGTGGCGCAACCGTTGACGAAGATTATGACCGAGTCGCTGTTATGTGGTCGCGGTCAGCCATCTCATGGCGCGGTAGATTGCAGACAGCAACGTTTGTTTGGCGCAGCCTATCACTCGCGGTGCTTGGGATGGTGGAGGTTGATGGCGGGCATAAATCAGGGTCTGTCGCCTGTTGGGGGAGGGTTTCAATCTGTGAGGTCGCGGGTCGCGGGTCGCTGTTGAGTCGGGAGGACGTGGAAGGTTGACCGCAGTGGATGGGACAGTCGGACAGTCGGCGGCGTCGTATTCGTTGGAGAGCGTGTCGAGTGAGGGTATCGCGGTCGTCGAGGCTTGATGTTCAATGGGTAGTGGGTGTATGGTGGAGGGGGGGATGAGGAAGAGGAAGAGGAAGAGGAAGAGATGACCTTCAACACCCGAGCATTACTGGTATGTGACCCGCAGGGGACTTTTGGCGGGCCGAGTGCACGCTCCAACGAATGGCCGTCGATGACTCGCTCTTTTGGTAGGATTTGGGATTTCTATGTCAAGTGCTGCTTCTATATGTCAGTTTATCGTAGATATAGGTTTTCCGGCGCGGCGAAGAAGTGTTCTAGATGCTTTGTCGGTCCCTAAACCAAGCTTTTTTGCAAGCTTTTTTGCAAGCTTTTTTGCAAGCTTTTTTGCAAGCTTTTTTGCAAGCTTTCTTGGGTGGAAGGTGGCCAAGAATCGAGGTAGCCAACGAGCTGCCACCAACACAAGACACATAAAGCACTTGGGAGGTTGTTAGAGGAGGGTTGAAGGATAATTAGAGTCTGTCTAGCAGCGTGGTATGCATGTCTAGGAGTGGTGGCAGCACAGGAGGAGGTTAGAAAGTAGATATTGCAAGCTGTAACTTACTCTGTATTTACTACTATAATAATACGTAGAAAAGAGAAAAGGGGCTGTTAACATGTTAACAGCACCTGGGCGAAGTGCAATATCATACGAGGGGGTACTTATTATATAGCTAAAGTCTGATTTGAATGAAGAATCTGCAATTATTCAGTTAGGTTAAGTTAAGTGATATTGTTAACTTATATGTCTCTGTCGCTTTGAAAGTTAGGGAAAAGGTACTCGTATAGTACCTCCGTCCCAGGCACAGCATACGCCTATTACACAGTCACGGCCTCGTACAGCATCCCTACACAATGGTCTACAAGGACGCGAGCTGCCGAGTACAATTGAATCCCTCCTACTCCGTAATTAGAATCTTAACAGATAATTCCCATAAGTGCCAATAAGAAGATAGATTGCTGGCTTTACAACCTACAGAGCCAGTAATCCATTTTAATAGCATCGTTGCTAGAAACTGTTGGAATTATCCTGGCTGATACTTATATCCCTTACACATTTCACCCTCCACCTCCAACAATCTTCCAACAGCATCGACCTTTCAACAACACCACGCTCCCTTGATTTCACCAAAACATAGCGACAAACGCTGGCGATATTCGCTGCTTCACACTCCAAACCAGTTTCATCGTGATCCCCGCGGTCCGCTGTGCGTGCCACTGTAACAAAAATTAAAAAAGTCCATCTAGCTATCGCTCCCGCTGTCAGAGAGAGAACCCCGTTTCGAATTACCCGACTCATCGCGACCCTCTTTCCCAACCACCGCCCATCACCCCAAACGACAAAGACGAACTTTTCTGAGGAAAAATATCGCTGGACCTTACGACGCTGCGCAATCTGATCAACTCTTCGTCTGTCTGCTAATCCTTCTATGCACATGACATCTGCGCGAAACGTCGCGACGGGGTCCCGCACCAAGATTCCTTCGATCGAACCCTCAAAGACTCCTGACGACTTTCCAAGTGATTCACGACCTTCCCACGTCCGACAATGACACGACCACAAATCATTCGTGCGGGTTCGTATTGGCGCGATCATGAATTATACCCTCAATGGCTAACGAGACCTCCACAGACACAATCGACCTCCAGGATCAGGACGCGCCCTCTGCGAAAGACCACACCCGACAACCCACACATCCGTCTGCAATTGGAGCTGGACCACCTGCGCCGCACCAGGCAGGTGCCATTCGGAGCATGGTTGAGGAGAACGAGAGACGACAACACCCTGATACCTCGCCCAATTGGGCCAATGCCGACGACTCGGAGTACGACGATTCCGACACGATCGAGCCCATTGCGAATGGGGGATACCACAACCAGCACGGCGCGCATGGGTCGCAGAGTGGCGGATCCAATGCAGAGGACGCAGATATGGCGGATGCGGAGGGCGACGACAGCATGGACGAGGACGATATGATGGACAAGATCTCGAGCTCCCCTTCCATTGACGATGGTGGGTATTCTTCTCCTCTCAGCAGCTCCTGGCCCCTCGGATATGACAATTCTACAACCACCTCCATGAGCTACTCTTCCCTTGCCGCCGAGACCAGCATGGTTTCTTCTTCGCCATACCAGGACCACCCTGCGTTTCTACCTTCCGTTCCATTTGTCATCGAGCCATCATTTGCGCATCGTCTTGGCGACAGCCATCTACAAGTGTCAGTCAACAGTTTGACAGCGATCGCTGGTGTCTGGGAGGAAGAGAGCAGCTACGAGGCCTCTGACCCTGGTCAAATTGAAGCCTACGATGATGACTACGATCCCTACAATTCCGACGACGTGTTTGCAGTGCATTCCGAGTCTGCCTCGGGCAGTTCCGAGGGCGGCGAAAACTCCTACGACGACAACTTGTGTTTCCCCTGCGAAAGTTCGGACGAGGGAGACGATGAGTTCCCCTATCCTGAAGATCCGAGGTTCATTGATTCTGGGTGGGGCGGAGAATGCTTACAAGATACAGAGGACATCGATTTCGAATTTGTTTACGCCCTACACACGTTCGTGGCGACTGTCGAGGGACAGGCAAATGCGACAAAGGGCGATACGATGGTGCTTCTGGATGACAGCAACAGCTACTGGTGGCTGGTCAGGGTCGTCAAGGATAGCAGCATTGGTTGGTTAATTTGCATATTTTAAAACTACAGCTACTTACGTTCCTCTAGGCTATTTACCAGCAGAACATATCGAAACCCCGACAGAACGACTGGCACGATTAAACAAGCACAGAAACATTGATGTATGACAATCTACCTCTCACATGACTTCATACTAACATCCGTAGCTCTCTGCAACAATGCTAGGCGATCAAGCCGATAAGCCCAAGAATCCATTGAAGATGGCTATCCGCAGACGGAACGCAAAGAACGTCACTTTCAACCAGACTCACACATACGTGGAGGCGTCTGACGTCGAATACTCCAGTGACGAAGAGGATGGCGAGAATGCCTACTTCGCTTACCACGACGAGAAGACGGAAGAGGAGAACGCAGCGGCGAAGGAAGAGGATGCCACGTCTACGGAGCCAGACCCCGAAAAGGCGGCAACTCGCGAGGTTAAAGCTGGAACTACAGACGACGGCAACGACTCCGACGATGATGCAGATCCTAGTGGAGAGGTCACGCGGACAAGCGACGAGATATTCGAGGGACAGCCCGAGGGCACGTCGAAGTCGCGCAACGGCACGGTCCGGAACACCGATTCATTCTTCAAGGACGATACGGTCGAGACGCGCAAGATCACCATAACCCCCAACCTCCTCCGAGACGATTCGAGCGCGTCGACGGCGAGAACGTCGAACGAGTCCAAGGAGATTCGCGAGCGCCGCAGCCTGGACAAGCTGGAGAAGGACTCGGCGTCGGATAAGGCCAAGGACAAGAAGGCCGCGAAGGATAAGAAGGACAAGGACAAGAAACCCGGAATGCTCAGCGGCCTTTTCAAGCGCAAGGACAAGAAATCGAAGTCCGCAGACGAAGACCCCGACGACCTCATCATCGGCCCTGGCAAAGCATCCAGCGAGCGCACCACCTCCCCCGCCCCGAGCAGAGACTCGGAAGAGGTCACAGGTACGCCTGCTGATGACACGGCGTCGACACGCGGCCGCAACGGGTCCCCACAGCGTAACCCAAGCAAGCTGCAGAAGATGCGCGCCGAAGCGCCCTCGAAGCTGGGCAAGCACGAAAACGAAGATATCTCTCAGACCGAGCCCCAAGCAACGCTCGAACGCTCCGCCAGCGCAGCCGGCAAAGAGACAATGCGCCTCGTCCAACCCGAGGGCGCCACCGTCCTCGCGCCCACCGGCACAACAACCACGACCATCACCAGCGACGCGCCCAAGGCCGCCAACGACACACCCAAAATCACAGCCGTCGGCGCAATCACCAAGATCCTACGCTCACGCAGCGACTCGGAACCCAAGCCCGAGCGCCTCAAGAAAGCGAAAGCGCGCCTCGAACTCGACGACTCGGATAGCCCCGTCGAAGTCACCACCAAGCCCGTGCGCCCTATTCCCGGCGCATTCCCCGACAGCTACGCCTCGACGCGCTCAGACGATACTCTCACCGCACCCACCACCGAAGCTGAGCCGCTATCGCGCGCACACCCGCCTGCGCTCGTGGCAGGGGACGCGAGTAGTCCCGAGTCCTCACCCTCGCCGGAGCTGGGGACGAGCGATGCGATGATGAAGAGTTCTGATACGGCTGCGCCGGCGAGCACGCGGACGAGCGCGAGCACGTGGAGCGATGTGCAGCTGAGGTCGTTCTTTGATGATGGGGCCGATGTGAGGGATTTACTGGTCGTGGTGTATGATAAGACGGGTGTGGAGCCGGCGGGGCCGGAGCACCCGCTTGTGGGGGGCCTGTTTAGCGCGGAGGAGGCGAGGGTTAGGGATTTGGGATTGGTAAGTTGTGCTTTTTTTTGTTTTACGCCTTGGGTGGGAACGTGCGACTAATGATAAGCAGCGGCTGGATAATATGCTCGGCGACTGGCTGGCACGGAAGAGGACCGTAACAACGCGGTAGGAGGTTCTCACCCCCTCATTTTCCCTCCGTTGTCTCCACGGAGCAAGGGGTCGGCACACTGAACGCCCAACAACGCAACAGCCAGATCGACAGATGGGATGAGTACGATATCATGAACACCCCCGCCGCTCACGAGCACGGCTTGAGGGAGCTATGTTTTTTTTCTTCTATATTTTTGAGCAACGCGCGCGCGATGAATGCGTATATTGCGATTTTTTATTTGCGACGCGGTGCGTGCGATGTGGTGGGGATGCGGAATGGCGTTTGGCATGGCTTATGGTTCTAGGGGGGCATATTTGTTTCTTCGGTTTCTGATGGGTAAGTTGGAGTGGAGAGGGAGAGGGGATTGATTGGTGAGGGTTGATTGGTGGGTGAGTTGTATTTAGGGGGTTTGCTTCGTGTAGGTATGTGAACCTTGAGGGTTTACGGTTATGGGTGCTACGGTACGCCTGGTTTTAGGGAGGTGGTTTGTGGGTGTGGGGTTGGGTGATTGAGGGATGAATTGAGGAATTGAGGAATTGAGGAATTGAGGAATTGAGGAATTGAGGAATTGAGGAATTGAGGAATTGAGGAATTGAGGAATTGAGGAATTGAGGAATTGAGGAATTGAGGAATTGAGGAATTGAGGAATTGAGGAATTGAGGAATTGAGGAATTGAGGAATTGAGGAATTGAGGAATTGAGGAATTGACGAATTGAGGAATTGAGGAATGAATGTGTTGATTGGTTGTCTGCGTTATGCTGTGAGGGGGTGTCAGACTGGGTAGAAACAGTAAGGGGGAGAGATAGCAACAATTGAAGATCACAGTATAAGCAAGACCGTCTCAGCCACCATACTACGTCGCAACACAAGTGCATTACCAGAAAAGGCCAAAAGTATGTGCACAACTAAGGTCCAAGAAAAGATTTATTTACTTCCTAGATGACAATCCTTCACCTGTCTCTTTAATCAAGATCAAGATCAGCCGAATGCACCCCCTCAAGCGGGCACCTCCCACTTCCCCGCCCTCAGCATATAAACCTGTGCCACCGGCTTCGGCAGCTCAACCCCAGACTTACAGAATAGGTCCCCCTTCACAAACGCAGTTTTCCGGCTTCTCGATCATGATAGGTCTATTTGTTTGTGGTTCAGGTTAGCCACAAGGTGCGTTGTAACGATTCTTACCGAGACCGGCTATAAGTAGGCCGGCTCCACCTGATCTTGTGATGACTAACCTAGTTTTCTGTCACGAGCATCATCACGTGCAGATTACAATCACGTGTGCTGCGGTGCCAAGGCGGAGGGTCTTCACTTCGAACCCCGCCCGGAATCGTATATAGTAGGAACGCGGACTTTCGGAGGAGGGTCAGCGTTCAGTCTTCGTATCAATAGAGGGCCTTACTATGTAACTATCCATAACATGACTTCCCGCTGCCCTGTTCTACCAAGGCTCTCTTACATTCTGAACGCTCATCCATTCCTACGTTTAGGAAGAACAGCCCAGTAGGGAAGTCCAGAAAGAAGCTGAGAATGCCGCCCCGTCAAACCTGTCAAGGCTTCGCAGCGAGCATCGAGCATGAGCGCAGTGAGGCCGCTGCACCGGGCGAAGAAGCAACTCCCGCTTCAGGGGCCACAACCCCGTTGTCACGGGTTCGCAGCTCCTCGGGGATTGAGGCCCAGATCGCTGCTGCCATAGCACTCGAAGCTGAGCTGCGGCAGGAGCTTGAGTTACGGGAGACGGGAGAGCGGATTCGGAAGCTGCAGAAACAACTAGAATGCGTGGACTAAGCGGAGGCTTCGCCCCAGACCCTCGCGACCTCGGAACGCAGCTGCAAGCCAGCGAGCTTGATATCCCATGATGGCCTTCCGCAAAGCCTTAGGGCAAAGGCAGTCTCGGAATACCAAGGGAAGACAGTGCGAAAACACTCAGAGTTTATTACGAGCTGTGAGCTCGCCTTCCGCCTCGAACCAGGGGCGAATAAGTCGGACGAGCTACGCTGCGACTTTGCGACGACGTGGCTCACAGGAGAACCCCGCGACGCGTGGCTCCGACACGAACGGGAACCTGGGTTCCAGAAGACCTGGGAGGAGTTTAAGAACTTCCTCCTTGACCTCATCCAGGACCCAGTGAACGAACGATCTCAACGGCCGTCAAATACGAGGAGGCGCGGCAGCGAGGCGGCTGTCAACCCTTCGCGTCTACCTTGAAGACTCCCTGCAAAGGGGCTGGATCCGGAACTCAACGAGCCCAGCAGGGGCGCCAATACTTTTTGTCCCCAAACCTGATGGTTCCAAGCGCTTGTGCATGGATTATCGTTGCCTAAACGCAATGACGATTAAGAATCGACACCCTATACCCCTCATATCCGAGATCCTTGACTGACTAAGTGGCGCAGAAGTGTTCACGAAGCTTGACGCTAAGGATGCGTACCAGCAGATGAGAATTCGGAAAGGGGACGAGTGGAAAACAGCTTTCCGAACAAGATACGTAGTGATGCCGTTTGGGCTATGCAACGCCCCCGCATCATTCCAAGCCTACATTAACGAAGCGCTTGCAGGACTTGTGGATGTGATTTGCATAGTGTACCTTGATGATGTGTTGATCTACTCGAAGCACAAGGAGGAACACCCGCAACATGTCCGCACAGTCCTCGAGCGGCTTCAGAAGTTTAAGATCTACTTGTCATACTGACATTCGTTGCACTCAGTTTGCTATCAAACTCAAGAGCAAACTTAGAAATCTCCTCCTCAAACCTACAAGTCACCATACATATCTTGGCTTATCACACCAACAACAGAAGCAATACTACTCAACGATTGCTGCAAACTCTTCTACTACATCTGTTTATGCTACATACATCACGGCATATCATTTGGACACTCATTGAACAAGTTATTAAGAAAATCTCCTCCTTAAGGGGGTGGGCCAATACTACCACATGGCATATCTCTACCAACTAGAGGCCTAGGAACATGAACGATAGCTCTAGAAGCTTCTACAACCCTCTACGATTCATTACACGTCATCGCTCCTTAGTTACCCACAAGATTGGTTAAGTTATGACATAATTTGTCTATAGGTACTCTGACCTTGGACCTCCTTTTCACTTCCTATAGGCTAGGAACCCAAGAGATGGTTCTATGGGATTCTCTTACGTTCACTACATGATTAGCAAGCTAGTTGTGGGTCGCACTTGATTTCTAATACATTTACCAAGCCTGGTTAGTCATGGAAAGTCATGGAAAATGAGAGAACTACACTCCTTTGGCATAAATAGGATTGCCCTTTCCTTAAGAAAGGGCAAGCAGGCAATACAGTAAATCGACTAGCACATACTTCTACGTCTTTTCCAAGCTTCCAAGCATTGATCTTGTTATTCTCTGTTTTTGAAAAGTCAGTGAGGTGCTAACCTCTGACTTACCCCTGAGTTCTCAGACTCAACATTTGTTGCAACTTGTCTAAACCACTTCACCACATCATACACCTGATTGCTGCGTTGTGGAATAGTCTAAGCTACAACCCTTTGGCTCTGTTTCCTAAGACAGTGTGTTGTCTTAGTAAAATCATCCCTTCCTTGGGTGGCTAGATTCTCACATCTGGTGCACCCACCATTACAAGGCGGCGATGCATGACGTTCTTTCCGGCCTCAACAAACTTCGTGTAGCGGAGCTGAAGTGCCTCCAAAACATTGGCGCAGCGGTGCATGGTCGTTTGGCTGAAGTTTGGATGAGGGATGCTGGAATCGACGGCGCCCTGGTACTTCTCAAATGCTGCCATCAAGCGATTGAACTTGCGGAAAGCCCAGGGGGGAATCTAGAATGCAGGGTCAGTCGAGTAGGAGGCGAAGCGGAGGGTAAACACACACGGGGAGACACTTCGCCTGATGTTCCTGGCAGTATGTGCAGCGGGTCATAGCGTTGACGCGGGAGCAGCACATATCCTCGCGATCCTTGTACACTCTCTTAGAGCAACGGAGACACATGGCAACCTTCAGCTTGGCGCGGCAGGGCTTCAAGGGCGAAGACATCACCTCTGACATCGTGTCAACGGGTGGGAGGCACGCATGATGCAAAGGGTTCTCCGGGGATTGGACCACAGTGGCAAGGCGACTACCACGAGCGAGGCCAGACAGAGTGGCAGTGGTGGCGTTGCTTGAGCCAGGCACCGGGGCAGCCTCAGCACCATGGGGAGAGCTTTGAGAAGCTGCGGCGTCAGGTTTCTTTCCCTTGCCTTTAGCGGGGCGTTTGGGGCCCATCCTGAAGAGATCTATCAGTTGAGTCAGTAAAGAGAAATTGAAGGTGGTGAAGTGGGAGGAAAAAGGGCGAAGGAGGAAGCGGTCAAAACTACACAACAACACAACAACGCGCAAGCGACCCGGGACCGCTTACTCAGGGGAAGGGCTGCCGCTAAGCGGCAACAGCAACAAGCCAAAATAAACAACACGGGCCGAATTCACTTCTCGGGTTCAAAGGGGCTCGAGCCGCATAGGGGGGGATAATTGTCACGGGCATCATCACGTGCGGACTACAATCACGTGCGCTGTGGTGCCAAGGCGGAGGGTCTTCACTTCGAACCCCGCCCGGAATTGTATATAGTAGGAACGCGGACCTTCGGAGGAGGGTCAGCGTTCAGTCTTCATATTGTAATGGTGGGTGCACCAGATGTGAGAATCTAGCCACCCAAGGAAGGGATGAATTTACTAAGACAACACACTGTCTTAGAAAACAGAGTCAAAGGGTTGTAGCTTAGACTATTCCACAACGCAGCAATCAGGTGTGTGATGTAGTGAAGTGGTTCAGACAAGTTGCAACAAATGTTGAGTCTGGGAACTCAGGGGTAAGTCAGAGGTTAACACCTCACTGACTTTTCAGAAACAAGGAGTAACAAGATCAATGCTTGGAAGCTTGGAAAAGACGTGGAAGTATGTGATAGTCGATTTACTGTATTGTCTGCTTGCCCTTTCTTAAGGAAAGAGCAATCCTATTTATGCTAAAGGAGTGTAGTTCTCTCATTTTCCAAGACTTTACATGACTTACCAGGCTTGGTAACTGTAGTCGACGTAAGAGAATCCCATATAACCATCTTAGGTTCGTAGCCTATAGGAAGTAAAAGGAGGTCCAAGGTCAGAGTACCCCTATAGACAAATTATGTCATAGACAAATTATGTCATAGACAAATTATGTCATAGACAAATTATGTCATAACTTAACCAATCTTGTGGGTAACTAAAGAGGATGACATGTAATGAATCATAGAGGTTCGTAGGAGCTTTTAGAGCTATCGTTCATGCTCCTAGGCCTCTAGTTGGTAAATATATGTCATGTGGTAGTATGAGTGATGTCATGTAATGAATCATAGAGGGTTGTAGAGATATGCTATGTGGTAATATCAGCCCAGTAACTAAGGAGCGATGACGTGTAATGAATCGTAGATGGTTGTAGCAATGGTTGAGTAGTATTGCTCTTGTTATTGGTGTGATAAGCCAAAATATGTATAGTGACTTGTAGGTTTGAGGAGGAGATTTTCAAGTTTGCTCTTGAGTTTGATAGCAAACTGAGTGCAACGAATGTCAGTATGACAGTTTGAGGAGGAGATTTCCAAGTTTGCTCTTGAGTTTGATAGCAAACTGAGTGCAACAAATGTCAGTATGACATGATACCCCTCTTAAGGACGTTTGTTAGCTGTGTGCTTGCCCTTTAGCCAGGTGGCTTTCTTAGAAACAAATTCTAGAATCAGCTTGGATGCATTTTTTAGATTTCTCTTAGGTTCCCAAGTGTTGTCACTTGTAGGATAGCCTTTCCACTTAACGAGGAAGTAGCCCTGACCTCTAAGTGTCTTTTTGTCAAGGATAGACTCTACTTCATATTCTGGTTGATCCAAAATCAGAACAGGAGGTGGAGGAGACTGAAGTGGTCTTAAGGAACTTTCTTGTGCCTTAGACAAGAGAGATGCATGGAAGACATTATGGATAGTCCAAGTAGGTGGTAATGCAAGCTCGAAAGCATTCTTGCCAATAGTCCTTGTGATCTTAAAGGGTCCAAGTCTTTTAGTATCAAGTTTGTCTGATGGTCTAGTAGTTGTGATATGTCTTTCTAGACAAAAAGACTTGATAACCAACTTTGAATTGTGGTGCAACCACCCCCCTGTTAAAGGCCTGAGCCTGCTCGTCTTGTGCACGCTGTATTTGGACCTTGAGATAGTCCTGGAGGCCCTTAAGGTAGATGATTCTTTCAGTAGCAGAAGGGTTTTTGAGATTTTCAGGACAATTAAGTTCTGCCACTTCAAACCTAGGGTGATAACCATAGTTTGCATAGAAAGGTGTCTCTTTTGTGGTGTTAGAGACCGTGTTGTTGTAAGCAAATTCTGCAAGATGGAGAAGATCTGCCCAGTTGTCTTGAGCATAGTTTGTATAAATTCTTAGATATTGTTCAAGTACAGAGTTGACTCTCTCTGTCTGGCCATCTGTTTGAGGGTGATAAGCTGTAGAAAAGCGTTGTTCCATGTTTAAGAGTTTAGAGAACTCCTTAAAAAAGTTTGAAGTGAAAACTGCTCCCCTATTTGAGATCCAGTGTCCAGGAATTCCATGATATTTAAAGACCACCTTGAGGAATAGCCACGCAAGTTCAGAAGCTGTGATAGTCTCATTGCAAGGCTCAAAGTGTGCCATTTTTGTGAGCCTTTCTACCACCACAAGGATAGAGTCATAAGGGGTAGCACCCCCTTTTGGGATAGAAGGAGGCAACTTGACTATAAAGTCAATGGATATGGAGTCCCATGGGCGTTCTGGTATAGGTAGAGGCTGCAAGAGGCCATAGGGCTTTTGCCGTGTAGGTTTGTTCAAGTTGCAAGTAGTGCAAGAAGATATATAGTCTTGAAGAGTAGTCCTTAGACTAGGCCAGTAGAACTTTCTTGTTAGAAGTTCATAAGTTTTTGCAAAGCCAAAGTGCCCTGCAACTGGAGCATCATGGAACTGCTGTAGGAGGTGTAGCTGTAATAGTTTATCCCTTGGGACATAGATATAGCTCTTGAATAAGAGAAGTCCTTGCTGATTTTTTGAGAAATTTTGTAGTCCAACTTTCTCAAGAGAGGAACCTTTCTTCTGGAGGTATTCCAAAGTTCTTTTGGCAAAGGGATCGTGGTTGTAAGCATCTTTGAATGATTTAAGAAGTGTTGCTGATGGTGTATAGTCTTTAAAGGTCTCTGGTTTCTGAGAAGAGGTAATGGGGGCAACTTGGTCTTGAGGGGATAAGTTTCCCTCTAAGTCCTCTGTAGTGCAAGGGTTGCTTAAAGATGCTGCTATAAGCTTTGTAGAGTCTAGCAGGGTCTTTGTATTGCTTGTTTTAGCAGAATCTTGGTAGTCATGTCTTTTTGAGAGGAGATCTGCTCTTTGATTCTTGGCCCCTGAGACATGTTTTATAACAAAGTCAAAACCTCCTAGTTGTTCAGACCACCTTGCTTGTCGTCGATTGAGCTGTTTAGTGGTTGTAAAGGTCAAGAGATTTGAATGGTCACTGTAAATAGTGATAGGATAGTTTGCCCCTTCAAGGTAGCATCTCCAATGCTTTAGAGAACATACTATGGCAAGCAGTTCCTTGTCTGTAATGGGATAGTTTTGTTCGGCTGCTGATAGCTTTCTTGAGTAAAATGCCACAGGCTGTAGCTCTTCTTGTTTGTCCTTTGGAGCTTGGTATAAGATTCCAGAAATAGCAAAATCTGAGGCATCTGTCTCAAGAGTGGCAAGTTTCAAGGGGTTAAAGTGTAGTAACATTTTCCCTTCTTTGAATTCTTCTTTAAGAGCATCGAAAGCATCTTGCTGTGTCTTATCCCAGTGATACAAAGTGTCCTTGTGAAGTAATTGAGTAAGGGGTAAAGCCAAGGATGTATATCTTGGTATAAACCTCCTGTAATAGTTGGCAAACCCAAGGAAAGACTGAACCTCTTTAATTCTGGAAGGAATAGGCCACGTTTGTACTGCTTTTGTCTTTTCAGGATCCATCTGAATGCCTTCTGTTGAAATTCTATGTCCCAAGAAATCAACTTGAGACATATGGAAAAGACATTTCTCAAGTTTGCAAAAGAGTTGTGCTTGAGATAGCTTCTCTAAGACTTGTCTAACATGTAGAACATGCTCTTGAGTGTCTAAAGAGTATATAAGAATGTCGTCTAAGTAGACAACAACAAAGATATCCAAGTAAGGTCTTAGAATATCATTCATGAGAGCTTGGAAAGAAGCAGGTGCATTGGCAAGCCCAAAAGGCATTACCTGGTATTCAAAATGACCATAGCGTGTTCTGAATGCTGTCTTCCACTCATCATCTTCCTTGATGCGTATCAGGTTATAAGCTCCCCTGAGATCTAACTTGGTAAAGATCTTTGCTGAAGAGAGCCTATCCATGAGCTCAGGGATAAGGGGTAAAGCATATCTGTTTTTAACAGTGACTGCATTAAGGCTCCTATAATCAACACAGAGACGCAAGGAGCCATCTTTCTTCTTGACAAAGAGAATAGGAGCTCCTGCTGGTGAGGAAGAAGGTCTGATAAAGCCAGAACTAAGGTTCTCATCTAGGTATTCTCTGAGAGTTTTCAGCTCTAATTCAGATAGAGAGTAGATAGGGCCGTAGGGAGGCATTGAGCCTTCTGCGAGTGGTATCTCATGGTCATAAGGCTGGTGCTTTGGCAGAATTGATGCCTTTGCCTTGTCAAAAAGATGTTGGTAGTCTTGGTATGCTAAAGGCAAAATGACCTCCTGAGATGATTTCTCCAAATCTGAAGTAGCTGCTATCTCCAGGACAGGTTGGAAAGGTTTAACCCATATCAGAGATGATATATCGTCCATAATTTGGTTAAAATCCTTGATCTGGGACAAGTCTGAGTCTTGGACCTGAATAGGGGTAACTGAGGCTTGAAGGGTTTTTTCAGTATTGAGCTCAGGATTTGAGCTAAACCCAAGCGATAAATGCTTCCAATTGATAGTTGGATCATGCCTTTGAAGCCATGGAAGACCTAGGATAACTGGGTACTTCATTGGTATAACATCTAAAGAGATGGTGTCTGAAAATGTTGATTTTCCTAGGGGAATCTCAAGTTTGAGTACTGGGGTGTTGCAGGTAATGGAACCTGAACTGATAGGAGTTCCATCAATGACTCGGAGCAACTCTGGAGTGCGTTTGGGAATTGTAGGTAACTGGTGTGTCGAGATGAGGTCTTGAGATATAAAGTTGCCTGTTGCCCCTGAGTCTATCATAGCCCTTGTAG